ATTTTATCTTCTTGTAATGCTTTTCTTGCTAATTCAGCATCTTGCAAGTGTACATCATGTTTTTGTACAAGAATCGTTTTTTCTTCGTCATCAGTTGTTGTCTTAATTTTCATGTTTAAGAAATCGCATTTCGCACAGGTATCTTTACGTGGCAAATGGAAATGTAACTTGAAATCTCGTTTAAAGATTTTCCTGTATGTCCATTCATTAACTGAACTCAAGTTATTTTCCTTGCATTTTTCTAAATATAAATTATACATTTTTCTTATGTTTAATTCAGGATTTAAAAACATCCGTTCTGGATTTTGGGATCGAGTATAGTGACTTTCAAATGCCGGAAAGCTTTTTATGTGTTCTATCACTGTATTCGTCATTAGCTCACTAGTTCTTCTGCAAGACCCATCCATTTTTCCACGCATGTCTTTCGGAATATTCTCATGCGCTTTTAGGATACGATCAATTCGTCCAGTAGATATTTGGAAAGTATCAATGAAAAACTTCTTACATACTAAAATGTTTCCACCAGAAGTAACCACGTAAAATTTATAAGCATATGCCCTCATAGTGCCCGAATTATTTCTAGGTCTTCTTCTATTGACAGTTTCACGTTGAACATTACAATGGAGAAATATATTTTGCTTATTAAAATCACCTATATTCCAGAACTTATCAAAAATTTCTTTTCGTTGTGTTTCACTAATACGTTCTACACATTTCTTCGAGCAATTACAATTTTTTGATTCAAATTTTTTTGCTGGAATGAATTTTCCTCTTTTTGTATAGTATTTTTGTCCAGTATTTCGCTTAATTTTGTTTATTTGTTGCATATATTTTTCTTTCCTTTGTTCTGCAGAATGTAAGTTGTCAGTAACAATATCCTCATCTGATGAAGATTCTACCTCTATTATTCTTCTTCTCTTTTTACGATTCGGTAATTTGTTGTTCATAGAGGAATTATCTTCATCCTCTGAATCTAAGATTATTCTTCTGTTTATATTCATGGGCTTTATTTCTGTGTGAATTTATTTAAAATTAAATAAAATAAAGATTTTCAATTGTCTTAAAATAATATTGATTTACCATTTGTTCTTACCTATATCACTATCTGAAGTTAATATGAAGTTATCCATTTTAGGAAAAAAATATAATAAATAACCTAAATTAATAACTCTTGATACGTAATATGACACGTAATATAAAACAAATGTAAATCATAATATAAAACAATTGTAAAACAACAGGCTACTGATCGGCAACCATCTGCTAAGCCATCTACCTCTGTCAATTGGACTTACACCACTTTCATAATCGATGATTATGCAATTTCATTTACCGACCAATTTTAAATTATACAAAACATGGAAATTTTTTAAGAAATTAAATACGGACTAATTATATATAAAAAGTGTACATTAAATTAAGCATGAATTACGTGATATCTCATTTTTTTTCAAAAATGGACTTACACCACTTTCAAAATAAACGGTCCATATGTTAGATTTAACATATGTTGGATTTAATACATGTTAGATTTAACATATGTCGGTTAGATTGAACTAAAATCTTATTACACAAGATATTACTTAAACGTTTCCTCAACGAATAAGGAGAATTATTCAGATCTCCGTTTAATCATCACTGACCATCTAACCATATTCCCTTCTAGGACATGAATCACTATTCATAGGAATATTTGCAACACAATTTTCATAAACCAAAACTGACACATTAGAAGTATCATTTACTGCAACCTCGCTGTACACGTCTTTCTTGAGTTTGAAAAACATTCTTACCTTTTATGTGATACATCATTGCCAGAATAAGTCTTCGTTCCATTTGTACCATAACAGATAAAAAACTCCATTATACTTGACATTGTTTTTTCGATAAAATACCATAAACTGAAAGCTCCAAGGTTGTGTATGCAGTTGAAGAAAATTGAAATATCTTTTTGACCAAAGACCATTATAAGAACTAGTCATTTCAGCTAAAAAAGAAGAGGATCAAAGTATGTTGAAAATGCAGTTAAAATAAAAAAAGTAAGCGTTCTTATATTCACATCAGTTTATTTTTACTTGAATGAAGTTCGATTGAGAAAGATCGTCTCGATATGTTTCTTTGTTATGCAAAATACGTTCATACAAAAGATTCTTAGCATTCGAGAAACCAGGATTATTGATTAATCGTTACCTGAGAGGTGAGTTGATCATCAATTATAGTAGTGTGTTTATTTTTTTGTTCTTGGAAATAAATTTATTTATCTCTAAAATTGTACTTATTTTTAATGTAAAAATTACATATAAATATACACGAATGGCTTCTTTAATATCAGACATGTTGTTTGATTGATACCAAACAAAATAATTGTATGTTCGATAAGATTTTAGGAATTTGGAGTTTTTCGAATTTAGAATTTTCCGAATTTGAAATTTTCCGAATTTGGAATTTGCCGAATTTGAAATTTCCCGAATTTGCACTCTTCCGAATTTGCAATCTTCCAAATTTGAAATCTCCCGAATTTGGAATTTTCCGAATTCGCAATCTTCCAAATTTGCAATCTTCCGAATTTGCACTCTTCCGAATTTGCAATCGTCCGAATTTGAATTCTCCCGAATTTGAAATCTTCCGAATTTGAAATTTCCCGAATTCGGAATTTTCCAAATTTGAAATCTCCCGGATTCGGTATTTTCCGAATTCGCAATCTTCCGAATTTGCACTCTTCCGAATTTGCACTCTTCCGAATTTGCAATCTTCCAAATTTGATATCTTCCGAATTCGAATTCTCCCGAATTTGGAATTTTCGAAACTTGAAATCTTCCGAATTTGAAATCTCCCGAATTTGACGAAACCTCGCGATCGAACGAAACACTCGAAGACCAAAATACATCCAAAACATAGTTAAAATAAAAAAGGTGCCTTCTTACGTCCACATCAGTTTAAATTCCATTGAACATTACTTCGACATGTTATGCAGTATACGTTCATACAAAAGACTGATCATTCGAGAAGCTGATTAGGTTCATCTATTAATCGCTACCTGTCGGTCATTAATAATGCGACTGCGTTGTTAGTTTCTCGGAATTAAGTCGCGTTACAATAAGAAGTCTCGCGTAAATTGACGTAAGAAGTCAATAAGTGTCAAGCACTCGTTGTAATTGCTTCGCAGCTTCTCGAACAAGCATAAACAGTGGCCGTTAGACTCCGCGTATGCGCTTTTACGCGAGCAGACTGCGTTTGTGTTATTCGCGAAATTTGCATAAGTCAGTAACCTGGTGGTTGCATGACGCGATAGTATTTCTCGGACAATTATCGACTAATTGTTCGACGAGAACGTGTTCGTTCCGGTTATTTATTACGGCTCTAGCTTGTTTTCCTGTTAAACGATTACGTTTCGCTGGCCGGAAAATTGGAATCACGGAGGAGAACCGATTGTAACTGGTTCGATATGGAAGATGGCTCATTGTACTTTCAGTGTTTGCGAGAAAAGTAGGTTTCAAGATTTTATGATAGTTTGTGTTGTATTAAATGAACCAATTCAATCCACTTTATTTTTGTTTCTGAACGTAAGAACTTCTGCAGGAATAAAATCGAACTGTTTGTAAGATGGCGATCGGTTGTTGACGAAAAAAATATTATTCAAGTGTAAGAGCTATTTTGAAACTTTACGAAAATATGCACGAATTTATGTACTGATTTGCTAGTTATTTTGCGTATTTATTTCAAGCATTTTACATCATCTTGTATTAATTACATCAAGCATGTAAGTTCAAGAATTTAATTAGCAATACGTGGCAGAACTGAACAAATTATACACGCATCCAGAATAATTTAGCAGTAAGTATAAAGGTAACTCTTAAATGCTACACAGAGCTAGTTAAGAGCTACGACTGAATAATTACATCAATCAAAAAATTCCAAAAAAATCGTTTTCCTGAATTTAACAAGCTCAAATACAGCAACATTAAAAGTTCCTATTCTAATTCAAACACCGACTCAGTCATTTCACAGTTTAATTCCACGGAGCAATAAAATCACCGGGAAAATCGATTTCCGTCTCTTTCGAAACGAGAGTCACGTACAAGTTCAAATAATTTCAGTGTACGCGCGCTATTGACGTCAGACTCGCTTTATTTTTGATACTGCGACGTGGGACCCACGAATCGCGCGTATCACACGGAAATCACACATTGTGTCGCAAAACTGATTAATCGTGACGACGCAAGAATTGCGTTCGTTAAATATCGTGCACACCGGTGAAGTTTGCATAGTGTTTAATAATCCTTTGTGTAACTACAATGGAGTTTGTTGAACAACTTGATTGCATCGCGGATAGGTATTCTAACGCGCTTCCCTACTTTTGAAACAGATGTGTCATTTATATATTATTGACAAAAATCATTTACATTAATAATTAAACATCTCATTTTTTTTCTGCATAATTAATGAAATAGGGAATTTATGCACTTGAGTTGATGGAGATTTGCAGATATAGGGATTTGGGGTTATAAGAAGTTGGAGATATAAGGATTTGGGGATATTGGAATTTGGAATCTAAGGATATGGGGCTTGAGGGATTTGGGATCTAGCCATTTGAGCATCTAGACATTTATGGACCTAGGGGATTTGGGCAACTAGAGATTTTGGGAACTAGGGATATGTGGATCTAGGGATTTTGGGAACTAGCGATATGGGGATCTAGGGATATGGGGAACTAGGGATATGGGAGTCTAGAGATTTTGGGAACTAGTTATATGTGGATCTAGGGATTTTGGGAACTAGCGATATGGGGATCTAGGGATATGGGGAACTAGGGATATGGGAGTCTAGGGATTTTGGGAACTAGTTATATGGGGATTTAGGGATTTCGGGAATTAGGGATATGTGGATCTAGGGATCTTGGAAACTAGGGATATGGGACTCTAGGGATATGGGGAACTAGGTATTTTGGGAACTAGGGACATGGGGGTCTAAGGATTTTGGGAACTAGTTATATGGGGATCTAGGGATTTTGGGAACTAGCGATATGGGGATCTAGGGATTTTGGGAACTATCGATATGGGGATCTAGCGACTTTGGGATTTAGGAATTTTTGAGTCTAGGGAACTTGGAAATATAGGGAATTTGGGAATCTAAGGAATTTGAGAATCTAGGGAACTTGGGAATTTAGAAACCTAAGGAATTTGGAAATCTAGAGACTTCCCGAGATCATCTTCGAAATTTGGTATATATGGGAATTTTGGAGATAACCTAATTTAGGGACGTTACGATCTCTGGACAAAATAATTTGGAAATGCAGAAATTTAAGGATATAGTCACTTTTGAATGTAGGGACTCCGTGATTTGAGAGTTTGAGCACGTAAGAATTTAAAAATAAAAAAATTTGCAAGTTGAAAATTTGTCAATCTGTAAATTAAATATTTGAACTTGTGGAAATTTTGAAATTTGCAAAATATAAATTAAAAAAACTTACAAATGTTTGAGAAAGTGAAATTTCAGAAATTCTCGAAATATATTTCGGTACGTCTATAAAGCACAATACGCACGTAATAATAGAAGGGAAACAAAACCAATTCATTGCTGAAATTTCCCCCGAAATATCCATACAATTAAACAACAAAGACACAGAAACAGTATCATGCGTAATTCCGACAATTTTAGCCTCTCGTGGCTCCAGGCCTGCAGTACGAGATTAGACCATAAATAAAACTCGCGTTTCAATAGCGTGGTGCAATCATGCCATAAATACAAAGTCTTTACGGTCAATTCTCCGCAGGGAATGGTCTCGTAGGAGAGCGGGGTCAGATAAAAGGTGCTATCAAGGATCGTTACTTTTCTAAACAGCATTACAAACAATTGTCCGGCTGTAAAACGTGCACGTGTCTTCGGGGTATAATATGGAGTAGTCTTTGTCGACGAGATTGTTAAGTGGAACCAGTTCGAGCCAGTCGTAAGGAGTCGAATCGTAGCTTGGTGACGTTAATCAATCAGGCCAGGTCCCGAACCGATCAGTTCAGAAGACCCGGCCAAGGAAACAACCATCGTATGATCGTTTAACCCGTTCGAGATACTTGGCTCGTTCATAGAAACGATCCCCAACGATTTTCTTTCTATTTTTCAACTCCGTCAACCAACAGCTCGATGCAGAATGCACCGTCTATGAACGCGCGATACGATTTGCAGCAACATGAGAACCTGATATATCTGCTTATAATGTTAACCGATCACGTGATATTTTAAAAGGCTGAACTTTTCAGGTGACGCAAGTCGGTGATCCCTGACCTGTGACGTTTATTTCAAGTGCTATGAACTCGAATTGATTAACTGTGTTTTTGATTTAGGTAGACACGTGCTGTGGTGTTCGAGAAGTTTCAGTTGGATGTTTGGATTTGTTAGTTTAGGGATTTTTTACGGTAATTGTTTGGGCAATTTGGGGATTTTGGGATGGAGGAATGGAGAGTTTAGGAAGGCGGAAATTTGGGGGTTTAGG